GGAAACGAGCGGAAATGTCTAATGACGTCTCTGCTGAGCAAACATTCCAAATTATTTTTGTTTGATTGCGTTAATTTCTAAGAAGATATTCAAGTTGAAACGGATTCGGCCGTTCACCCGCTATCACCATTTGGCACAAAAACAAAATCCCGCAACTTTACGATTCAATTTCCTTCGAAGGAAAATTCCCAAGTCTGCGGAGCAAAGCCCTTCTTCAGACGACGATAGTCGCTCAGCTGACCAATAAATTCCACGCCTTTCGTACAGTCACCGTTTCACGAGAATCCGTCACTGACCTTGCCCTTCCAGATTTTATAATTCTAATAATATCTGGTGAAGAATACGAATTGCGAAGGTAGACGGCAATCTTCAAAAGAGTTACCACATCAGCATCCACTGTGTTAAGGGCAGGGAATATCAAAACAACGACGGAATGAGGACGCTGAGTGTTGTATGTAGCCTATATGCCTGGCGTAAAATCGATCCCGCGCCACCCAGCGCCCTTCGCCAGCATCCATACCTTGAGGAGTGGCGAGGCAGACATTCTACCCAATGAAATGAACTAAGTCGCATTCTTTCTGCGTCGTTCTCTCCATCCTTCGGAACCCTTCCCCTGCCGTCAAGGAACTCGGGCAACGAATATTTGTCCCGGCTCAAAACTGCCAATGTATGCCCCTTCCAATCTTTCAGGTTCTGAAACCACGACCTCAATAAAGTTGACTCAAATATTTAGTGACCTCCATAAAGAGAAATTTTAAATTAACTCACTACATGGCGTGATGTCCTCTCTACGCTGGTTATGACACCTAAAGTTAACTACCTTGTTAATAAACTGCTGCTAATAGTTCGTATCCTAAGCCAGTTCGATCCATTCCTTACCATCATACACTACAGCCTGAAGATCTTTCTGTAACTGAAAAGTGGTTAGCACTCCTGCTTCGTATTTGGAGGGGCATGAGTTGAAACATCGGCCCGGAATCCGCTACCCTGACTCAGGGTTTTCGTGGTTTTCCTCATTCCAAGTCAAATGCCGGGATAGCACCCTAAATTAAGCCACGACTGTTTCCTTCCATATCACTTGCAATTCATTAATCAATCCACCATTCGCCGCTATACGCGTACTTAAATTGTAGAAATTATACAGCATCACTGCGTAAATAAACAAACATGAGCCTGAAATTCCAATTGCATGACTCCTTAACCTTACTTCAGCAATGACGGAGTGACAATATCTGATGACCCTGACTTTGAATGCGGTTATTTACTTAAAGATAATGAATAACAGAATAGAACTGCTAAACATTCTGCTGTAAAGCTTGCAAGAGGCTGCTTCTCAGTTGTTAGCTGTACGTTCAGAGTTGCCATGGGAACCAAAGGACTATTGCTCTTCACTTTGCTTGTAACTTGCGGTTACCTTCGAACGCTGCACAGTGCTCCGCCAAGCAGCAAGATTCGATCCGAGAATGATACCGTGGTATTCGAACGAGGGACCTGCAGAGGTTGCCACAAGATCCTTGTGCGAGATTCAATCATCAGGTGCGCGTCGCGGAACAACGCGAGTCATGTATCCAGCATCGTGTCTTACGGGGGCGCTGGCTCTTGCAGAGAAGAGAAAATTGCGTGTGTCAGGGTGACGGATCGCAGCGAAGAAGGCGAAGGGGCAAACGTCACGGTTAGGTCAGGAGACGTACAACAGTCGTTCATCAAACTGAACATTACTTCACACCAAGGGAAAGGATATCACTTGTTCCTGGAAATACGAGGAGTCGACCCAAATTCACCGGACTGCGAATAGTTTGAAGGAATTTTGTGTTCTGTGCCCTAGAATTTCACCTGGTGTTGGTCTGACTTGTCTAATGTTTAATACGAACACCATAAATACAATCAGCATAACTTCACAGGTCAGTCTAGAATGTATACCTGAGCCACCCATCTCTTCAGAAGTCTTCCTGCATTCCCTGACCATTCATGTACAAATATTAATATCGCTTCCAAATACATGTCTTAATTCCAAATGGAAAGCTTTAAAACGAACATCTCTGTTGATAGAACTAAAGCAGTAAATCCAGCATTACTATATTTCTGGACCTCGTCATTCGTCTACAAGGCATATTCTAAAAGCATCCCGTTTCGGAAGGAAGATCTGTTTCAGTCCTCAGGTTAGAAGAACCTCAGTAACTGGACCCAACTCAACTCAATGTATCAGACACATCTCTTCACCCAATAATAGAAACAGATTCCGTGTCTGAAATCCTACGTTCTTATAAGAATAACAGACGGTGTACAAGTCCAGAGATTCAATACTACTAAATGTAATACGACATCGTCAGAACCCTTTAGAATCAAAATAGCAGAATTTAACAGTAAAATCTGAGATGTAAGACTGTGTTAGATAACATACTGTCTCCATCTTCAGACCTGAAAACTTCAGGAGAAATAAAAACGTATCAGTCAGGTTCGTCGAGCCTTCGACCCTAGATATCCCGGACACAAGTAGCATAGCTACCGCTTCACCGCGATCTTCC